CTCTCTCTCTCTCACTCTCTCTTCTCTGTCTGTCTCTCAACTGTCCATCCTTGCTCTCGTCACAACCACGCAATTGGTTGGGTAAAGGGAGGGGGGTCCACGGTGGGTGACAGCGACCCTGTCAGTTGCTCGTTACAGTTACTTGGTCCTATAAAACGCGGCGCTGGTCGCAGAGCAGCTCACACTTTCTCCCCTCAGGTGCGACTTGCAGACAGAGATGCGCGTTATGGAGCGCACTTTCCGAGAGCAGCTCTTCTTTCTGGTGTTGTGTCTGTCTGTCCTCAAGGGAGACTCCAGATATATTGAGGTAAGTGTCAGGACATACGTCAACTTTGTTGTTTGTTGTTATACCCTTCTGTACAGATTTACACATAAGTTCCTGTTAAACTTTGTGTTCAACATTAAACATTGTTTTTAATTTTAAATTTTTTTTTCCAGAACAACGAGATCTCAAAAGATGAATTATATTCATTTTTTAACTCGGAGCTGAAGAGAGAAATACCTGAGGAATTAATGTACCGTCGACCTTTACGTAAGTTATATGAAAGCTACATATATAACCTATTTCTTCAAAAATCTGGTTATGCAGCTTATATTTGTGTATGAGAGCCAAAAAAAAGCTTTTATGTATCTGTCACATAAACTGTCTTTACTGCAAAATTATAAACTGTCAGTTCTGAACAAGAAATGTAATATATTTCTTTTATGTTTTTGATTTCTGAATTATTTTCAGATTTTATTTTATTTATAGGATCTTCTGCTCATTGTCCTTCATTTATGTATTTTTCAATACCCAGGTTAACATGTTGTGTTGAAAATGTTAAGTTTTAAGTTTAAAATTTGTATCAAGGTACAGAATATGTGATATATTGTGAGATATTGGACATTTGAGAGAAAATTTAATAGGAAATATCTGGTATTTCAGTTTTAATTTGTTTAATCGGCATAACAGAACATTTATTTGAGTAACAGAGAAGCAAAATATTAGATAAAATAGAAACAATAAAGGGAAACAAATGGTAATTACAGTATTAATTAAAAAAAACAAAACCCTTTACACTCTGTTTGTAGTGGTTTTGTTGAATGCACATCTATTCTGAACCGTATAAATGTATGTGTGATCCAGGTTGTCTGGACATGGTTGCAGTGGAGGGTCAGTTCACCTTCACAGCGGAGCGTCCTCAGCTCAGCTGTGCTGCTTTCTTCATGGCAGAGCCCAACGAAGTGATCAGTGTGGAATATGACAGTGTTGACATCGACTGCAAGGCAGGGGACTTCATCACGGTAAACTAACATCTTGTCATCATTTTCCTCCTCTCTTACATGTTAACAAAACCTTCCTCAGGTGTGAAATGATGTATAGATCTTGGAAGTGGAGCCAAAATATCAACTTAAAATAATTCCTTTATTTACCGACTTTCAGCTCTAATTGTAACACCCTTCACTCCTGTGAACAGCTTCTTAGGTGCATTATATAATTCTGTATGTATTTAGTAATCACTGGTGATGACATGTGAACTTGTTTTTGTTATTGTAGTACAGCCTGTCTTTGTTTTCATGCCACCAAACTGGGGTCAGTGAACTTGTTAAGCTTAGAAACACTTCCTGATTAGACAAAAAGCTCCTTTAACATAAGGCAATTGTACATAACCTGCTTACTTTAGGTGAGCTGCCCTCCAGTCTCCTCCTCTGTGGTTACTCCCTCCACACTAAACATACCATTCTAGTCTAAACCTTTAAGTTCAATGTGTTTCCCACAGCAAGATCAACCACAACGCACACTTTTTTGAAATATTTTTTCATTCTACCATTCTATTTTACAATTACTTTAAACAAAACCCTTGCAGAAATCATCTTTGACTGAATATGAAAATCCATACTTTCATCTTCTCCCCTCTTAATATGTCCCATGAAGGTGTTTGACGGCTGGGTGATGAAAGGAGAGAAATTCCCCAGCTCCCAGGATCACCCACTGCCTCTGTACGAGCGATATGTGGATTACTGCGACTCGGGATCAGTGAGGAGAAGCGTGCGCTCCTCTCAGAACGTGGCCATGGTCTTCTTCCGCATTCACAATGCTGGCAGCAGCTTCACCCTGACATTCAGGAAACACATCAATCCTTTCCGTAAGTTTGACCGTCACATTCATAAATAAACTATACAATGCACACATGCACGCAAATGTAGCTTTCAGCCCATTCGTGTAGCAATTAATGTGTGAGTCTGGGGTGTTAATACAAGCCTGGCAGGGTGCTTTAGTCATCAATTGCACCAACAGGGAACAGTTTGTCATCACTATGTTTCTGGATCAGGAGCAGGATCACATGGCAAATTATGTCCTACAGTGACATGTGAGGATAAGAAAAAAAAGGGCCAAATGAGTTAATTCTCTGTTAAACCTGTGCAATGATTTAATCCCTGACAATTTCCATAGTTTTTAAAATACCACATCATTTGCTTTCATGGCATTAGACTTGAATTCTGTCAAAAGCAACATTTATTTCAGTCTTTGAAGTTTTATCGCCTGTACATTTGGTTTCACCGACCAGCTCAAATAATCAGAAATAAAAGGAGCAATTTGTAAATATGAGTTTTGTTCCATCTGCTCTGACAGAACAGGTGCTCAAATATTAAATCACCTTTACATTTTGTAATTGCATTTTTCTTTCTCTTCAAACTATATCACTGATAAACTGCTTGCGGATGCTTGTCACTGTGCCTGTGCTTCTGTGTGTTTTCACCCGCTTCATCTTGACAATCCATCTAGGAAATCCTTGTTGCCACATCCCTCCCTCCTTTCACCATTTCTTGTCTCCTTGCAGCCTGTAATGTCATCTCCCAGTCACCAGAGGGCACTTACACAATGGTGATCCCGCAGCAGCACAGGAACTGCAGCTTCTCCATCATCTACCCAGTGGAGATCGACGTCTCTGAGTTCACCCTGGGGCACTTCAACAACTTTCCCAAGGTAAACAACTACAGTACAATGGGGATTAATTCAAATTTAGGGCAGCAATACGTCTTTCCAGAAACTTCAGCTTCAATAATATACTATTACCCACTTAAAGGTGATTTTTGCATTGAACACTATTGTTGTGATTTGAGTGAATTGACCCTTCAAAACATTAAGTACAGTTCTTATGCAACATAAATTGATTTCCCTTAAGGTCCATAGTTTGACAGGATACCGTCATATCTACATACTTTGCCTGAAGCTTACAGCTGCTTGCAGATCTTCTGACTTTTAATACACAAGTTCCTTTTGCAAAAAACTTTAAATCTTTAGAAGTAAACAGCAACAAGTAAATGTATCCAGTGTGACATCAATAAAGTCTATCTTATCTTCACTCACTCATACCAGTGAAGCTGTTTTGTAGTTAAAAAGCTCTAAAACCAACAGTACACTACCTGCTCACTAACAGACAGACAAAGTAAGAGGCTATAGCTGGTGAAACAGATATTGCCTCCAGGAGTTGGTGGAGACCAAAACAAAGGTAAAAGGAGAGGGAATATTGGACTTATATTCATCAAGTGTCCAGAAACTTGATTCCAAATGAATGGTAATATTCATATCTGCTGAATATGTAAATAGGCAACTGTTTACCATATCAACTTAAAGCTGCCAGTGTTGTGTTTACAGCAAAAAAGATCTGGATGAACTACGATCAGTTTTAAATTCACATGCTTTATACAGCTCCTCCCTAACATTTTTTTATGATGTTCAAAGGACATCAAGCAACCTGGTGTTTAGCTCCTGAACTCAAGCACAGGGTGTAGTGACCTATCATTTCATTTCTCTGGAGAGCACAGTCATTATTCGAATAAAGGCATAAGATCGCTTGTCAAGAAAGTATAAAGAAGAGGGCTCTAAAAATAAAAAAGACAAACAAAATGACATCTTACAGGATACAAACACACAAAACCACTGCGTCTGTAGCCGTACATTTCGGGAAGCATTCAGTCTACCTCGGTTTAAAAAATATATACATTATTTTTTCTATAATGCCTTTTATTGCCTGGACTTTCGTCATTTCATCATTATATTTTACCTTCAGTGGACTCACCCGTGTTTGTACAGATGCTGGCATATCCTACCCAGTCAGTGCATTGTGATAAATTGCATGTCACTCCACTGAATCATGCTGATGGATAGTATTTGCCACATCTCATAAACCCATGTGTTGCTGTCCACAGAGGTCCATGCCTGCTTGTGCAGAATCAGGAGATTTTGTGCAGTTGCTTGGAGGAAATGGCATCGACACGTCAAAGCTGCTGCCCATCACAGACCTCTGCATCTCCTTCACCGGACCCAGTGAGTACACACTGATCTGCTTTCCTTCCACATGATTTAAACCTGCTGGTTGGACTAAGACTTTCCTCTTCTTTCACCCTGCAGCCCACATGAAGATCGGCTGTGACAACACAGTGGTGAGGATGGTGTCCAGTGGGAGGTTTGTGAGCCGTGTGTCTTTTAGCTACAGGCTATTGGACAGCCAGGAACTGCAGACCATCAAACTCAACAATGTAGAGGATTTCTGTTTCAATAACTGATCCCAGCTGGATCCTAAAGTGACAAATGTATCATTTGACTGCAAACATTTTTAAAATTATTTTACTAAAAGCAAGAGATCCACCTGCTCGGTCCCTCTGATTAGATGAAATGTCTTAAAAACAAGATATATACATTCACAGTTATATTATGATATTACAAACTCCAGACTTTCAATTATTTTGTCTATTTTTTATAATTTCTTTCCATCTTTTTTTCACTCATTCTGGTTGTTGCTGAATAAAGCTTAATGAAGTGTCCTTTGTGTTTGGTGGAACTGCTATTGTTTTATTTTTGCTTTGTGTACAATATGTGTGTTTTTGAAGATGAGACTTATGATATTGTTATTACGTTGCATATGGGTTCATGGCCAACATTCTTGAAAAGGAATGGTGCTAAAATGAATGTTACCTGCTGTTTATTTTCCGAATGATACATGATGTGTTCATTGCCATTATGCAGTTAAATTTGTATAAAACCTTTTTGTAATAAAATTATACCGCATGACAAAGCACTCAATTGTGGTTTTGCTCTGATTTCGGTTATGGCAGAATGTGTTTTTGTGTTTTAATTTGTGTCACGGTGAGAAACAAAACTGTGCACTGCAGCACCTACAATGACAAACACATGACAAAATATATTGTACAGTCGTCCTAAAATGTCGACACACACACACACACACAAATAGCAAGAAAGAGAATTTATATTTAAATGTTCAGTTAAAAAAGTACAATAGCATCATTCTGTGCTCAGAAGGTTTCTGTGATTGGGCTCAATTTCATGCTGTGTTTTCTCAAGATGCAAAAAACGTCTTTTAATTCATAAACTTACATTTAGGTCACATTTATTTTCATGATCTGAGCCATTTGTCTGATAGGTTTCAGTTATAAGTTTATATGCATTTTCTATACATTTCTATAAAGGGTATTCACCACTCTTTGTTCTTATTGTGTTTACAGAAAATTCCTGCAACTGTTCCTGTCTGTTCTGTGCACTGCTCCATTAAATTACTTTCAATTCATTAGTTTCAGTGGAGGAACACATATGGGAGGTGTTTACTGCTCCACCTTTCCAGACAGCACTGTTTCTGTCTGTCCAGTAGTTTGCTAAAGTAGTGTGACAAAACTTACACAAACTTTAAAGACATTCTCTTGTCTAATTTGGAAATGTTTGAATTATAAAGCCATTGCTTGCTTGTAACTCTAACCTGATCCCATAACACTCCATCCATGATGAATTAGCCTGTATGCATGTCATGGTAATGTCATGGCTTCAGGGATGGCAATGTTGGTCAATCAGTTGGTTGGTCCACCACAGTGGTCCAGACTTAAATATAGTATATCAACTACTGAATAGATTGCCATGAACGTTTGTACAGACATTCATGGGGCCCAGAGGATGAATCCTACTGGCATTGGTGATCCTCTGACTTTACCTCTAGCGCCACCAGCAGTTTTAATTTGTTTATCACCAAATACCTGCAAAATTAACGCCATTCCCATCAGTCCCAGCTGAACTTTGTATTTAGTGCTAATGTGCAAAATGTAAGAATGCTGTAGTGTTGTGTCATCCATAGACCTTTTACTCTAAAGAATAAATCATTTTGATGAACAAACTGCACTAAATAACTTCCTGAAATGATCCATTCTCAGTCAGTTGTGAGTGAACGTACATTGCATTTAATAAACAACTACAGTGATACAGTACACTGAAAAGAACTGCCGTGCCCATCACTAGTGTGCTAACACACTAAACTGAGAAGGTAAACATGGTAAACATAAAACCTACATGTGTTGCCATTGTCAGTGAACATGCTAGCATGCTCACATTAGCATTAGAAAGTTAGTCCCATATTATGTTTTTGTAGGTATTTCAGGCATTTCATTCACTTTATAGGCTAAACAGATACACAACAGGAAGATGATGATTTCACATTGGCATTATCTCTGTGGCAGAGCAGGTAGGCCCACCAGTTATTATACAAATAAACATGCATCCACTATTACATTTCAATAAATTTCAGCTGTTTTGTATCGCTTATAAGCAATCATTCAGAATTCCTCTCACCCATAACTCGGTAAACAACCATGAGACCTTTCACGCTGTCAGGGGAGCATTTTCCACTTCATTATCCCTTCAGATGTGGGATGATGTCAGTATCTTTGATGACTGTCTCTGCTATATAACCACTCCCCTCACTGTCACTATGGTAAGAACAGCAGGCGATATCTCTGAAAATAATGGCTTGAATGGTACAAACCAATGGGGCGACCAGTGATTAAAGCCCTGCAGGTGTTTTATCACTGACAGACACCTGCAGCCACAGCCAGTGATGAACGAGTGTGTGATCATGAACCAAGTCAGAAATCAGTGTGTGTGTGTACATCTTGTAGTGACGAGCACAATTAGTGGTCTTTCACAAATTTAAATATGAATATCCTGTCTAAAAGGACATTTCTATATTTAAACTTGGTGTTTTTCTATATTTATCCTATATTGATGAATCCCATGTAAAGACAGAAACCAATCTGTTAGTCTGTCTGTTTAAACATTTAGACTATCTGTGGCTCTGAAGACGTAAACCTTTAAAAACCAACAAGCCCGCCGAATTAAAAGAGAAGATAGAAGTGTTTTCTAATGTCAGCAGGATGACATAATTTGTCTGTGCCTTCCAAAATGAGTTTAACGATGCGACAAATGCTCAAGTTAAGGTTTAGGCACAAAAATGACTGATACAATGACAAGTTTGTTAAGGTTAGAGGAGCTTCGTCATCATGGTTACAATAATAAACCCTTTAGGTTCGAAATTGTGGTCATGCAAAAAACTGACTGTTGACTGTCGGCTGTCTGTTAACATCCAATATTTTGTTGATCCACTCCGACCTCCTCCCTATGCGATGTCAATCTACGACATCGTCACTTTCTCCTTTGCTCCATTATTTACAGTGGCCACTAGAGGTTTTTGTCATTTGAATACATTTGGTGCACTTAGTGAAATGATTGATGCTCTTGGGAGGAAAGTGCCTTAAAAGTTGATCACTAATATTTACTTTCATTTTCAAAAGCATCTCCTAAAACACCTGGGAACTGTAGTTTTTAGTGAATGTTACTCAGGAAGGGTAAACAGTACATTTGTTGGCGTCTGTTTGCAGCTGCTGATTTGGTGCGCCAGTGAGTATTTAAAGCAGCAGGGGTGGGATTGAGTCAAACTACAATACAACACCCATATTTATCATAATAAAAGAATAGGTCACAGAGTACAACAGTGTGGCTCATTGATGTGTTTTAATAGTTTTTGGACACAATAAAGCTCTATGGCACAAAAGAAGAAGATATCAGGCTTTGGCTAAAATACCTGTTGGTAGGGTAAAGTCATTGTTGCATGTACGTATGTTTTATTTAATAAATGTAGCTTATATTTCTATTATATTCTTCTCTCAGACTATGTTACTATTTCAGGCAGCTTTCTGTGTGTCCCCTTTGTGCTCAGTGATGAAATTATTGAACAAGCCTTATGATGCATTCACTCCTTGATATGAATGATAAGACAATATGGTGTATGTGTACATTTTTAAGGACTATTATATGCAGTACATTATACAGTATATATGTTTTATATAAAGTGTCAGTAGAGACCTGGTCCCACGCTGTGCAGCAGTCACTTCACGTACTTTTTAATATTGCGTAACAGTTGAAATGTTTATCAGAGGAAGTGTGTTTTTGACTGACGGTTTGATTGAACTCAACAGAATGAGAAAATCAAGCGTGACATTTGAATCTGGCCTTTCTGAGAGACAAAATCATCAATACTTTGTCAATCACTCAGCAGGGGCTCAAAGCAGATACAGACACTCAATATTTTATTTGCTGTGCTTCTCATGTTCATGATATAATTGTTAAGCGTGGCTACAGTAAGGTGTGTATATTTTAAAAAAAAGTAATTCTTAATATGTCTTTAGGTAAAACTTAATATTTTACTTTTCCTTTACAATATTTTCTGTAAATTACTTTAAACATTACTTAATATTGCTGTTTTTTTTTATTTTTTCTGCAGATTCATTTTAAGATCCGTTTTCAGTAATGGTAGGTCTAGAAATGACAATGGAATATTGAACATTCATGGTGCACAGAGGATGAATCTTTGGAGATCCCCTGAGTTTTCCTCTAGTGTCACCATGAGTTTTAGTGTGTCTATTAGATGCATTGCCATGAAATTTGTTACAGACATTCATGTTCCACTCAGGACGAATTAAAATCACTTTGGTGATCCATATTACCTAATTATTTCAATCAGATCTTAATATTTCCACTTGGATCAGATTAAAATGAAAGGAATATTATGCTATATTTTACTGACCTGTTATCAATCTATAAAATAGAGACTATAACAAAATCAGATGAAACAATCATTGTTATAGTTTGTGCCCCAATGTGAGTAATTTAAAAAAGAAAAAGTCATAAATATTATCAACCACTAGAGATTGCAGCAGAAAACAGACTGTGAACATCATACATGTGAGTATGGTATAAATCCCAGGAGACATTATAAATAATGCAAAGCCCACCTAAATCTTTTTCCAGTGCGGGCGACTTCAGGCTGTATGTTGCCCAACAGGGGCTCCAGGACTGCATTTTTCACTGGTGTATTGTCGTCATCCCCCGGGGGATGACCACACCGTTTTCCAGGCTAAAGCAAGCTGCTGTGGAAAATCTGGCTCCTCACGTGCTGTGATTCATAATAGGATCATCCTCCATCTGTTACTAAGCAGCACTAAAGGTGTTCAGACATATAATGATAAATCATGAGGTGTTTCATCGGGGTCGTGGGGTTTCTTAAATGTCTTATTCGACAACTGTTCTTAATGCCTAAAACTGTGAGGTGTCAAAATTCTCATCTACCGTCAAGGATCTGACTTTTCTTCCTTTTAAAAAAAAGATTAAGAACTTATATGATGAATGACAGCGTAGAAATGGAAAACCCCTACAAGTTCCTGAACCACATTAATTAGTAAATAAACAAATTTAATTCTTATTTATTGCCTAGCAGATCATTCATGGATCTTAGAGTAAGTGGACTTTATACATACTGGAAAGGATGTACATTATTAAAATATTTTAAGTATATAAAACTAATATATATTATGATTTCTAACCTTAAACTAGGATATTTTTCACTGACTGACTTTGTACTTAGTGTGTTAATGATATGCAACTTGACTACACTCAAGTGCACTTACTGTGCTATTTTAAGACCACCATTAAGTTATAAGTAATTGTATTTATATATACTTTTTTGCACTTAATATCTGC